TGAGATGAGCAAGAGGAGCTGTTGAAGGCGAAGGCCACAGATTGACGTCTCTGAACTTCGACTCGCCGTCTGACATCACAGGCACTTCCTGTCCTTCGTCTGCACATGGTTCTGAGCATGCTCAGATCAGACCTGCCTGATGATGATGGTCTTCAGAGAGCTGAGGAAGAGCAGCAACCTGACTGATGAAGGACGAGAGAAGAAGGTATTCAGGAGAAAGTTATTTATTTTGAAAGAACCAGAATTCCTGTAGAAACATCTGCTTCTCTAAACTCTTCCTGTTCTCTCCTGAAGCTGGAGATGAAGATGACTCTGCAGTTTTCTTCTTCTGTCTGAATCCTGACGCCGATCCGATCAGGTGGAGGAAGCTTCTGGAAGGGTCCGGTTTGTCCGGTTCATCTGGTTGAACTCAAAATATTTTAACAAACTAAATGAATAACTTGGAGTTAAATCTTTAGCTTGTATGCTAATATGTAGTATATTAGCTAGTATGTAGCTAATATATGTAGCATATTAGCTAATATGTAGGTAATATATGTAGCATATTAGCTAATATGTAGCTAATATATGTAGCATATGAGCTAATATGTAGCTAATATATGTAGCACTTAGCTAACGTGCTAATTGGCTTGCCAATCAGCAGAAGTGGTCTTTATAAGCTAAAGATTTAGCTTGCTAACGACATACTTAATTAGCAAGCTAAATATTTACATTGCTTATGTAACAGAGATAAAAGCTTGTGTGTGTCTTTGTGAGTTTTGATCAAAATGATTGAAGAGTTGTATGTGTTTATGAGATTTTTGATCAATACGTTTGTTTGGAGCCACCTAGTGGTGTGATTAGTGACTGCATGCAGCGGGTCCGTCAGGCTCTCTCGCGGCTTCCCCACCAGAATGCTGAGTGCTGGTGGAGGTAGGTGCGAGAGAGGCAGCTCTTCGCTTCTTTTTTTACTTAGGGTCATATTTTTCTAGTTCAACAATTAACAAAGTACTGTAAGAATGTTTCACATCTACAAATATAATTTGTAAAGTTTTTCTCGTGGTTGGGCTGGAAAGATGTGACCCGGTTGGTGTTGGTGGCTGACCACTCGGTCACGGCGCTAACCGTGTCGGGCCACTTGCCTGCAGTCAAAGCCAGAAAATCTGCAACCTGACTGGTTAATAACAGATGCTGGTTCCTTATCATGTCACCAGTTAAAGTCTTACTGGTTAGAAACCAGTTCGGTTCCGGTTCTGCTCTGGTGAATGTCGGCCTGCTGCCGCCATCTGGTGGCGCCCTGCAGTACTGCACTCCTGTCCAGGATGTGAAAATAAATATTTCCTAAATGTTTCAGACATTAAAACTTAACATGAATTAAAGTTTTTAAATGACCAAAAATAAACTTTGAAGTCAAACTGAAACATCAGAAGCTTTTTTTTTTTTTTTTTTGCTGCTACTAAAAATTTTTCTGGCACTGCAAAAAATGACTTCATAAATATTTAGTAAATATTTAATTTTGAACTAAACTTTCAGGTTTTAGTACAAAATGAATCATTAACTTTTACAGAGTAAAATAAAAAGATGTTCTGGAATGAAACCATCAGAGTAAAAAGTTTAAAAATAAATGATTTTGAAAAGCTTTTAGATGTTCTATTGCATTAAAACCCACAGTAGAACAGTTTAGAACAGATTTCCTGTTGCTACAGTGGCGGGCTTTGTTTAGGCCGCCAGCAGTTGGTTATCCAACAATATCTGAGGTTATTCAGATAAACCAACATCACTATAAAGCTGTAAACTAGACCGCCGCCACCAGGGGGCAGCAGAAGACCAGCATGAAATCAGTTCAAATCTGCAGAATAAAATTATCTTTCTGTTAGAAATTTAAAATTTATTACTCTACTGGTTTGAACTAAAAAACATGAAACATGAATTTCTAGGACTAATGGAAATAAAGTTTATTCCGATGGAGCTGACCGTCGACCAGACATCGGAAATAAAAACTTTCTTCTCCAGTTTCTGAAGCGTCCATGAGGCTCCACTTCCTGTTGCAGCAGGAAGTGGAGGAGGAACATGCCACTCGTTCCCACGGAAACACTCCTGCTGTTCCTGTGACACATGAAAGAAACAGGATGGAGTTGGATCTGCAGCCGGACTCCAGTTGTTCACATGGAGCTCCACAGGGTTCTGCTTCAGGATCCTTCACTTTCTGGTGGTTTTATGTTAATTACAGGGTAAGATATCAACTGGAACTCTTCTTCACCTCCATAAATCCCACTTTCTAAGATCCAAATGTCCCGTTGTCATTAAAACATTTAAATGTTTTCAGTTCCTCCTTCAGACAGCTGAGATGGATTCACTTATTGACAAAACTCAGACTATTGATCAGTAATGAGGAGAGCAGCCTGCTGTTTGGAAAGTTACTCAGAAAATTAAATTTAGTATTAGAGAAAAACAATGGAATTCGTTTTTCGTGCCATATTTTCAACATAAACAAGTAGATCAGAGCTAAATATATAATTTGGAACTTAGTTAATTTTCTAAATATTTATCTCCAACCTTAATATTTAGCTTAGCTTAAATATTTAGTTTACAACTAAGAATTTAGCTCCAAACTCAATATTTAGCTGAATTAGAGCTAAATATGTACATAGAATGTAACTAAATAAGCTGCATACTTTGGAGCTAAAAAGTTAGCTGGCTAAATACTTAGCTCTGAACTAGCTACATATTAATTGCTGATAAGCGGAAGTGCACTATCAAAATAAAAGCTGAGAACCTGCTGTTGAGACTGAACCTTTAGACGCTGCAGATCCGTCAGTAAACGTCTGTTGGCCTTTAAAATGGATCATCCTTCGTTTAAACTGAAATGTTGGAGAAGAAAAGAAACAAAGAGGTGACATGAAGAGGTTCATGCTTTTATTTTGGTAGTCCACTTCTGGTTTTCTAGTATACAAGCTAGTCAGCTTGTTAGCTGACATTTATAAATGAAATGATGAAAATATGAGTTTAAAAATAAACTGGTTGCTCTGACAGACTAAATAACCCAGATTATCGACACAGAACGGCTCAACGTGGTGCAGTGAGACTTTAATTGAAAAGATGCAACAACTTGCAGGATGTGGTTTGAAAAACATTGAAAACAACAGGAGTCGTGATCTGGTGCAACGCCTGTTCCTGCGGTTCTCCTTGGACCGATCCAGACACCAACAGAACAATAAGGCACTTTGGAGAACAAGCTGAACAACGTTAGCTAGCAGGGCGTTCAGGTCCCACAGCATGACGCCTCCGCTGCAGAAACACACTAAATAAATCCTGTAAACAGTGGAGTTTGGCCTGGAACCAGAATCAGTCATGGATGGTTGGTTGGACGAACGGTTGGATGCTCTGCTGTAAACAGGCTCAGCTAGGGCCTAATCTGACAAACTGATAGGTTTCTTCTGGATCCATGCAAAACGTCCAGGCAGAAATATCAAAAGAGTGAAAAAAGATCATCAAAAATCAACCATAACAAGACACTGAAGTCAGAAATATTAAAAGTTTCAACTATAGAAATACAAAATCTTAAATATTCAGCTGAAATATTTTTTCTCCAGTGATTCAAACGAGTGCTTCAGGTAAAAAGAAGAAAAAGAATAAAACCTAGCAGAGCCTCATAATAAAGAGAAATAAAACTGCGGCAGTGGTGGGCACACTTCAGCTAATGAGCTAATAGTGGAGCTGACATTTAGCTTAGCGCTTTAGCTAACTTTGAAAACATTAAGCTTGCTTAGCTTTGCCTCAATTAAGTTTTCCTGATAAATTCTAAAGCGCTGATTTACTTAGCTGTTAAAATCATTTTCATTTTGGATGAAATAATTTGTCATATTTTTCCAGAATATATTTTTTTTATCACAATCTGAAACCAGAAACTCCTCACGTTTTCCACCCATGACGCAGTGCAGCTAATAACCCAATGCCTGCTGTACCCAGAATGCATTGCAGTTCAAAAGTAAACGGTTAAAATCTCCTGTTGCCGATTAGGCTGAATAGACCGTTTTCACATGACGTCAGAGAGCGGCCGTTATAACTCGATGCGGTGCATCTTCAGTTCCCCTGTGTGGAGTTAACGCTGTTTCTGGACACTATTTGCATACAGTTTTTCTTCATCAACATAATCTTCTCTGAATGACACCTGTTTGACTATAAAGGTATGTGTTTTTGTCTTTTCTAGCTGTTCGTTGATATGCTAGGATAGGAAAGGTAATTTAGCTTGCTAATATTACATAGCATTTCTGTTTTAGGTGCTTATTTATTAAAGTTGATACAGAAAGTGAACCTCTAAACGTTACAACACTGTATATTTTTCCTAACTGTGGCTAAAGCTGCTGCTAGCTGATTTACTCTCTGATCGGAGGCTTTCTTTTATACACAGTAGGAGGATGGTAAATTTGACAATAATTGATAACGGCTAACACCTAAATGCTGTTGTTATTAACCTTACCTTTTATTATATCCTTAAGATAATGAGTATCCGTGAATTTTTCAGTCAGTTTTCCCGAGGCAAAATCACACCGGAAGTAAAGATACACCCTGTCGAGTCATAACGTCTGTTGTCTGACGTCAATGTGAATAGAGTCTATTAGCAACAGTTAGCAAACCTCAGCAATTATAAAACTCAAACCACGAGTGAAAGAATCACTTCCTTTAGTGCAAAATGGTTGAAGTTAACGCTTTAGCATTAGCTTCTGCTAAGCACTGTGATGTATCGCTTTAGCATTAGCAAAACTAGTGTTTGTTTAGTGCCTTAGGGTTAGTGCAGCTGATATTTTAGCTAGTGGTGCCCACCACTGAGCTTTGACATATCCATCTGCTCCAAAAGCAAAATAAGAGCTCAGATTAGCAGCAAAGAAGCGACGCTACAGCTTACATGAACATTGTGGCCCATCACAGAAACGTCTATAAGGTGAAGGAGAGTTAGCTTTAGCAAGCAGACGCAGCGTGTGATGCTAGGCAGCTGATCAGACAGAAAACCTGAGTTGAACTCAGACATGCAGGTTGGAGCTGAAACATCTGATTCATTTCTAAAGATTGTCTGAGAAGAAAACTCTATGTAGCCTCCAAGTCCAGGCCGATTCTGTAGCTTCTGTATGGTTGGAGGAGAAAGATGGCCACCGTAGAGGACTGCTGCCATCACACGCTGAGTCAGCAGCTTGAGAGTAAAAACAACAGTCTGTTGGTTCAGTGAAGTGTCCATTGATCTGAAACATTCAGACTGAACAGATTTAGATGTGAATCCTCCATTTGGTGCAGAGGAAACGGAAGCATCAATCAGGCAGGAATGTTTCTGCTCATGTTTTCATCTGGTTCTGGTTCTGGAGGAGTGACTTATGAAATGTTTTGGATTCAGGGAGCAGAGAGGATTAAAAACCAAAGTTTAGCTTTGCTGATGTTCATGTTAGAGGATCAAACTAGGAAACTGATTTTATTTGGAACAACAGCCATCTTTAAAAGGCTGAACAGCAGCTAGAGTTGATCAAACACCTTAATGGCAAAAATGCATTTTGTACAAAATAACATTAAAATGTCCTAAAAGTTTTTAATCAATTAAGTAATGTGACTCCAAGCTGAAGGAAAGTTTGTCTTTACTCATTTATAATGTAATATAATCCACAGCATGTGCTCACTATGCTAGCATTAGCCTAACATGTTAGCCAAAGCTAACTTAGCTCAAGCTAAAATTACAGAGAAGCAGATTTTGGCACAGATTTTACCACACGGGTTATAAATATTTATTTAAAAAATCAATAAATGTTTAAAGTCTTTCTTTTTTAAAAGAACTGACAAGCTAGAGCTAGTTAGCGTCCATTCAGGAAGCCTCTATGTAGTGTTAGCGTCTATGCTAACTTAGCTAAAACATAATCAAATTTAGGCTTTTAACCAAAGCTAAAAATTAAGAGGGATTTTTTCAACATCTATAATTACAATAGATACACAGATTTAATATGCTGAAAGTTAATTTTACTTTTTTAATTTTTAAATGTCTTCAAAGGGAAGCTAACATGTTAGCTTCCCTGTAATGTCTTTAACGTCACTATTAAATTATTTTCACAGATTAAAGTAACAACATCCAGTTAGTTAATAATGCAGGAGAATAATTATAAAGTCTGTAAAATAATTAGAAAACCGATTTTTTTTCCTCATTTTTTTTTCTTTTGCTTTCATAGATTCAAAAATTTAAGGCCTTTGAATGTTTGTGTAAAAAACTCAATAAAACTGATATTAGGTTTGGTGAAATAATTAGATTTTTATATAAGGCCATTTCTCTTTCTGAACTTTAGTTAGAATTTTAGATGACAATTTTTTACATAATTTAATTATTAGTAGAATATTAAAGAATAATGTTTGATGAAAGGAAAGCTGTTTGGTTGATTGATGAGGCAATTTATCAAGTTTTTCATCCTAAAGAAAAATCATTTTTAAATCATTTCTTTAGTTCCATTTGTACTTTATCAGGTTCTTGTATTTTGTGTTTTTTATTGAGTAGAATCTGGGTTTGGGTCGTGCATCAATGCTGACGGTTCCCTGTGGAAATCACAGATTAATAAAAACATGCAGAACCATCAGAGGTTTCAGTTTGTGCTTCAGCATCTTTAAATCCACTTCAGCTTTTCGTTTCTCTGTTCAGCCAATATAACAAACATGCAGGATTTTATTTTTGGTACATGTGAGCGTTTTCTCTCCATCTGTGCTTCGTCTAGTTTCTGACCCATGCAACATTTGGTGCTTTGTAATATTTCAGCTTTATTGTAAATAAGTGTGTGCTTGTTATAAATAATTCATCAGTGCAGAGATTTCCATGTGATCCTCTACATGAACAGGCTGCCGGTTCTGCTGCCTTTGGTTCTGTTCGCCATTTTTTACGTTAATTCAGTTAAAAGCACCAAAAATCGACACAAAGCGTGACAAAGGTCAACGCAACGATTCGGGAAAATTACCAACTGAAACGATCCTTTAGATTTATTCATTGGTTTGCTTCTTAATTTGGTTTGAAGTCATGATTTGCTGCACACTGCTGGCCAGCAGCCTGAAAAGCGCCATCCTGAGGTCCAAACTGGGAGGTTTTTTATGAAAACATGAAGCTGAAACAGAAAACGTGACGCGGATCAGCTGCAGGACTGGACTGAACTCAGATAAAATGATCCGGTCCGTCTGATCCGGTCCGCTCGCCGGTTTTGGTCCAGATTCAGTTTTTATCCAATCAGGTTCGATGAATGGGTTGTTGCCAGGCAGAAAAGTGGAGCTGGAAGCAGCCGTCGGCCATTTTCACGAGTCACTTTTACTCCTGTTCACCTGCAGCAGGAAGGAGAGCAAAGCATGATGGGTAAAAACCACGCAGACAGAAAACACGGGCGAGTTAGATCGGTTAAACCGCCAAGAGGTCACAGTGGGGTCACCGTTAGCTCAGAGATGAACAGAACAGCTTCTATGTCCACTGATCTATGCACTCTGACCGATCCGTTAAAATGAGACAGAAATCGTAAAACAAGAAAAAACTCGTTAAAATCTCGACAAACTTTACGATAATTAGATGTGAAACATTCAGATTACGACTTCATAAAATCAGCCGATCTGCTGCGTCCGGGTTCCTCCATCTTGGTTCTAGAGAGGCTTGACCTTTGACTCTTCCCATGTCAGGCTGCTGTCTTCCGCTCTGGTGTTGAGCTAACTCACACAAACTGACCAATCAGAGGAGAGGACATACCGGCTGCTGGGCCACAGGCAACGCTGTACGACGTCCATAGATTGACGACCATCAGGAACGTCGCAATCAACCCGAAAACCTGCAACCAGACAGCAGGGGGCGCCGTCAGCCGCTGACGCGCAGCAGGAGGAAACAGGAAGTCCCTTCTGGGCCTGAGTTATTCTGCCATTGTTTAATCAGAGTGACTCACCGACGCCACCACCAGGGAGGAAACGGCGCCACATTTCACCGCAGCGATGATGGAGGCAATGAAGATCAGGACGGACCCGACAGAGTAGTGAAAGAACTCCTAAACACAGAAACTCTGTTCATATTAAACCTTTAAATTGTGACACAGAATCAACCTGCAAACATTTTATGATAAAATAAGATCAGAACCAGACGAGTTGGTTCATCTGAAGTAAATATTTAAACAGGATTTACTCTTTAAGCTCAGTTTAGTTCAAATAATTCACGTCTGAGCAGCTGGAATATTTCACCAGACTGGAAATGATTAATTTGGATTATTATCAATGCTAATCAGACACGCTGCAAATCATGAAAACTGCTGCAAAAACATGAATGGAACTCAAAACACCAAAAACAAATGCAGCAGAAAATGCTGCAGGAAGTGGAAGAAAAGATGCTGCAGCAGGGATGAAAGCAGAAATCCTCCAGGCCACCAGGGGGCGTAATATAGCTACACGAAGCTGTGTTTTCAAAGACATGAAGTACAGCAAACCTTTTCTTTCTTCTGGACATCCCATCTTTATGGTATCTGATGTGGCGTTTGGCTCCCCCTGGTGGCCTGGAGGATTTCTGTTTGCAGCGTTTTAAACTCACTGTTTTGGTCTTTGTTGCATTTTCTTCTGCTTCTGGTTTCTGTAGCTGCACCTTTTCGCTGTTTTTTGTGTTTTGGATTTTGCATCATTCATGTGCTTACTCCAGACCCCCCCTAGTGGTCTGGAGGACTTGAATGTTTTATACTTGTTGTGGTTTTTGCGATTTGTAGCATTTTTCTGTTGCTTTTGTTTTTGTTGTGTTAGTGAGTTTGCATGGTTTGTGTGTTTGCTGCATTATTAACTGCCTGCCACCGCAGGAAATAGAAGCCAAACATCAGCAGTCCTCCAGACCTCTAGGGGGAGTCGGGGCCAGACGCTCGGTAAAGACGGGATGTCCAGAAGGAAGTTGGACGAAAGAGGAAAAGGTTCGCTTTACTTCATGTTTTTATTATATTATAGAAAAGCAGCTTGTTTACACAGCATGTTTACTGACTCTAGACTCCCCCTAGTGGACGGGAGCTGGACTGTTGTTTTGTGGAGCCAGTTTTAATGCATTTTTCGCACTTTCAGCTTTCTGCTGCCGTTTGTTCCCGATTTTTTTATATCAACCCAGACGAGGCATCTCAGCCACTGGTAGGCATGAATCCATGCAGACGTTTAGAAAGTCATTTTTTCATATTTAGAGACTAGAATGAATCCTGAAACTGAAACCTGGTCCAGCCGGTGTTTCCTGCGTCTAAGCTAACATCGGAGACGTTTCTCTGCTTTTCAGCCGCTAACCCCGAGGTCCGATGGGAGCAGAAGGAGCGTCTCACCGCCAGCGGCCAGTTGATGCAGGGCATCTTCACCTGCAGCCTGCACAGGTGCATGAGGAAGAAGATGAGGAAGGCCACCAGGAACCAGAGCAGCACCACCTCAAAGAACTGGAAGGCGTACCAGTTGGGCCAGCCGCGGGCCAGCCGGACACACAGGAAGGCGACGAGCAGCGACAGCTGAAGGCAAAACACGGCCCGTTAGCGCCAGAACCAGAACGGGCCGAGGAGAACCGCAAAACCTCAGACACACACAGGCTGAACCACAACACAGAGAAACCAGAAAAACCACCAGAACGGGTCGGTTCTGAAGAAAACCTGTTCCAAACGACCAGAAAGACAGTAAATTAACAGGAAATATTAATAAAAACACTAAAAAAAAGAAAATATAAGAGATAAATACCAGAAAACAAAACAAGACTGCTAAAGACAAAACAAATGGGAGAGAACAGAAAAAAATGACATTAAAGTCAAATTAAAATAAAAAAATAACCAAAAATGACCAGCTGACTGCATGTGTAACATAGCTGCTAGCATTAGCATCATTTTCAATTAGCTTGCATTATTAATTTTAACCTTACAGGAGTAGCAAACTAAAAATGGATTCTGAAACAGAGTGGTGTTTAAATGTGCTGTATTATTTTAACTGTAAGGGTAACTGATAAATACTACATTTACTGTAAAAAATGACATTTTCCAAGCAGTGGCAGAAATCAGCCTATTATTTATGTGTAACCACCATGTAATAGTATTTAATGTATTATTTACTCTGCGCAGAGTGAACTACACCCAATGCTGTGGGAGTCTTAAGCAAACAGATTTCACAAGAAAAGGCTTAAACTTTTGAGAAACTATCATGAAAACCTAATTTAAAAAATCCTCAAAAGATAAATTATGAAATGCACAGAAATAACTTGCTAGTTGTCTATGCAATGGGGGGAATGAGGGGCTTCCAGAACCCGAGGCCCTGCTTTCTAAAGCTCTGTCCATGTTTGGGTCAAAAAAAGCAATAAAGTTTAGGCTCTAATAAAACAGTTTAAACAGATTAATTCATCAGAAACACAGCCGCCGGCTTCCCCAGCTAACGGTACCGGAGCCAGCGGACCGGGCTGAGGCTCGACGCTCCCCGCCCAGCCCGCGGCGCGCGGCTCTCACCAGCTGGCCGATCTTCAGCAGTCCCGGGATAGTCCGGCTGTATCCCAGGTTGAGGCCGCCGTCCCCGGAGGACCTGCCGCCGGAGGGCGTGCTGCTGATGGCGGTGAGGGACATGGCGGCGGCTCCAGCGGAGGAAATGACCGCTTTTAGTGAAGTTTAACCGCAGCGGAGCGGAGCGTCGATGGGAGCGGACCTTCTTTCCTCCGCAGGTAAGCTAGCACAGATACACCCGGACACTTCCGGTAGGACTTTCACAATAAAATCCAAGCGCTTCATGTCTTCTCTGTAACCGGTGTTCCGGTGGCTGCTTGTTTTATGGCTGGTTACAATAACAAATTATGCTGGATGACAAATCGTCCAAGAAGTTATTCAGATAAACTATAAAATTGTTTTTCAACCATTTTTAATTAATATCATGGTAATAGCATAATAACGCATTCAGTTCTAATGAACATTTAACACTGGAAGACATTTTAAATATCCAAAGTAAATAAAACAACAAATAAAATGAATTATGAAGTCTCTGTAAACAAAACTGTCCTTCAAAAATGTTTAGTTGAGAGCAAAACTGAAGATTTATCATCCAGATTTTGGTAGAAAACTGGATGATAAAAATGTAAAATGGCCGCCACGCCAGCTTCCTGAAAGCAGAGAGGAAGACGAAGAACTGCTGTTCTACCCACCAAGCTGAGACGCTGCCAGGGTTCATAAGACAAATGTTTGCTGAAGGCAGCGGTGCCCGGACAGAAATCCCAACCAGAACATCATCAGACCCAAACAGTCACCGTGTGGAACGGCCGCCATCTTTACCTCCGTGGGCTGGTCAGAAGACGGACTGGAGCAGTGTTCTTCAAGAATCCCGAGACTAAGAGTAGACCTTAGTGACATCGCTTCAAAATGTTGGAGAGAGGAGCTTCAGTGATCCTCAGTCTGAAGCAGGAAGTAGAAGGAGCTCTGCCAGCAGCAGGTTCTGCTCTGTGATGAGAGGAAATCCATTTAATCATGACTCACTTTATTAATTCAGTGTAGATTGTATGAATTGTATTTTTTTGTAGCGTGTTTTAAAGGTGCAGTATGTCACAGCTGCTGCCATCTAGTGGTCAAAGGGAAAGGCGTTTCCAATCCCTGCCTTGTTCTGACAGTCTGTCTGAAACCTGTTGATAAAAAAATCTCAATTAAGACAAAACTGCATTTTTCAAAGTAAAGATTGTTTATCTTTTAATTGTCTAAAAATTTTCTTCCAACCTTACTCATCACTACTGGCTAATTGTTAGCATCAATTTAAAGCAAACTTATTTCCTAACCTTATCTTTTCATTAACTTGAACTAGTTTAGTTTGCTACTAAATAACAATTCCCATTAATCAGCATGAAAATTAGCTAAAATAAGTTAATTTTCATCAGAAGTCCCATCATTACAGCAGCCTAAAAATAAAAAACACTACAGCACACTGAGAAGAAAAATTAAACCGAATTTTAATAAAAATCACAGAAACATCAAGAAGCATAAAATTTATAATAAATTTTCACTAAACAGTTTAAATGTTTCACATTTTATTGTTGCTGTGAAGAAAACATTCGAGGAGCTTTTATTTTGAAAGGAACATCCTGTGTGACCAGCGTTCGGGCGGTTCGGTGTGTGAAATTGACAGGTGGGTGTGGCCTTCATCAGGAAACACTGCAGCATCCTCATCATCATCATGTGAAGCCTCAGTCCAAACAGGAGCGTCCAGCAGAGACACTGGGGGACCGGACCGGACCGACCGGACCGGACCAGATCAATAAGACCAGACCGGACCGACCAGACTGGACTGACCAGACCGGACCGACCAGACCGGACTGACCGAACCTGACCGGACTGGACCGACCGGACCGGACCAGATCAATAAGACCAGACCGGACCGATAAGACTGGACTGACTGGACCGGACTGGACTGACCAGACCGGACCGGACCAGATCGATAAGACCAGACCGGACCGACCAGACTGGACTGACCAGACTGGACTGACCGGACTGGACTGACCAGACCGGACCGACCAGACCGGACTGACCAGACTGGACCGGACTGACCAGACCGGACCGACCAGACCAGACTGAACTGGATTGTCCTGCCGGTGGACGGGAAGGTTTCTGTGAGCACTTTCAGCATTTTCTAACCAAGCCGAGCTTCAGCAGCTCAGAGGTCACGTGATGAAAACATGAAGAAATCAAATCCAGATCCGGCTGCACAGATCCAGGACTTACAGACATTTTTCTGAATCCAGAAACATTTTAATTTTCCAGAAGTTAACTGAAATAAAACATGGAATCGATAAGCTCCCAACTTCCTGTCCAATCAAACGGCTCAAAGGGCCGAACTTGGCAGAGCAGTGGGCGGGGCTTCATTCACCATCCAATCAGAGCGGCTTCTGTTATAAACGTCGTTATTTTATGTAGTTTACCCATCAGGATGTGATGAGAAGTCATGTGACCACCGGTCGCCAGGACAACCAGATCTGAGCTGGACTTTACTAATGATGGAAAAGTTTGAACCAGTAGTGAGACGAAAACCGCCATCTTGGTTGGTCTGATCGATGTAAACAAAAGGAAACAGGAAGTTTGTTGTTCAGCCTCAGAGCTTCTGGAGAAGCGCCCCCCGGTGGCCGCTCTGCATCTGAGAGGATGTCTGCTCTTTTTTTTACTTATGGCGGATTAGCAGAGCTAGCTGGTTGTGTCGTCATGTGGAATATCAGATATTGATCACATATTGTTCTGTCATACAGCAACAGTCTTCAGTCAGAGGCCGTTCCAGATTTGTTGGAACATTGACTGCTACTGGAGAACCTTCCAGCCCACAGCATCACTGTCCACAACAAAGAAACATGGATGATCCGAGTTACGACTAAAGTTAGTTTCTATTTAGCATAAATGAAGTTTTTTTAGATCTGAATTCTACCTGAAGATCTCAGATTTCAGTTTCTAGAACTGGATTTTACATCCAGTCCAGATTCAGTGGATTTGAGGGAACCAATGCTAATGGAAAGCAGAGCTAACCGGTAGCATGTGGTTCTGGTGTTGTCGATCGGGTTTCCTGCTCGGTTCACCTGAAACTGCTGGTGGATCAGCGGGACGGCCGCAGCCTTCTGGCCCGGGAGTCAGATTACAGCAGGTTATTGATCCCGACCGGGCCCGGGTCCACACTGCAGTGGATCGATCCAAACCGCTCAGAGGGAAAGGCTGATTTGAACCTTCTGCCCAAAACTCAAAGTTCTGATGAATAATTCAGAGTTGAGCCAGAAACAGCAGAGCTGCTGCTGGACCGCTCGGCCCGTCAGGGACAGGAATGGATCGGGACCGCCTGAAACCCAGCCCGGATTCTCTGGTCCCATCATTACACAAAGTAAAACCCGATCTGTTCCAGATGTGGAGCAGAACCGAATCCTGTCTGCGGCCTGAGCTGCCATGTCGCATTTATCCAACTTCTAAATGCGTCACAAATCAGCGGGACCGGAGTCGGGAGTCAAGCGGACCGGAG